CGCAGCGCGCCGCCGCGCACGCGCAGCTGCTCACAGCTAGCGTGCTGCCTAACACAAATATATTTGTGATCACACATCACACAATCATAACATTTTTGCTCAATTATCATTACCAGCTTACTGTATGTCCCCACCGAGGGGGTAGTCAACCACGCTTATCGGAGGAATAATTTTAGCCCCTTTCCACCCTTTTCTTGATAGGACAGGATGGGAAGGAAAATTGGATTTGACGGTGGAGGAGACGCATAAGAGGAAATGTCCTCTTTATATGCGTCTCCTCCTCCGTCGATTAAGGGTAGGCAACGCATCTGCAATTGCGAATGTGTATGGGCAGCAGTCACTCCACCATTTCGGCGGATTCAGGTGGCCGCTTGCTCGTTTACCACCTTATAATATAAAAAAAAAAAAAAAAACAAAAACGCTGACCAAGCGCGGATTGGTTGACTTCACCCATATCTTTGAATTTCTTCACTGATATGTGCAGGCATTACGATGTTTTCCTTAACCGTAAGAACGTCGGGTAAATTATGTACATATGAAAATTGGAAAAATCGAAAATCTCATTGGTACAGCGGGATTCGAACCCAAGACCAAGATTACAAGTCAAGTGCTTAAACCACTGAGCCATTAACACTAACTGAGCCACCGACACTCAATATGCTTTTGCTCAATATAAATTATACATCTATACTAATATTATAAAGAGAAAAGATTTGTATTTTTGTATGTATTTGATTCATGTTAAAACTACTGGGGCACTTCAAAAATTCTTTTACCATTAAAAAAATAATTTATCTGCATGTAACATACTTTGTATTCTTTATTGTTTTTTATTTCACACGGGCAAAGTCGCGAGCAACAGCTGGTATAGGTAAAATTGCCAAAATATAGTTTTTAATTTGGTCCTATCAGGATAACTAGATGCAAATATTTTTTTATATATATCTAGTACTAAAATGTTACCTGGGTTTATCTGTAATCCTTTGTTATACAACTGTGTTAACAATCTCGCGACGCCGCGTAAAATTTGTGAGTAGTCAATCCGAGGTGAGTTTGAACTCATAAATAGTCTGCAATCTCTCACACTGCTGTGTACCTGAAACAAACAACAGAATTAAAAATATAAATTTGCATATAACAAAGTTTCCACTTTACAAACCAATGATAAAAGCCCTGATAATCTAGCAGGGTAGGCAGAAACCTCCGACTTTCATCTACCCTCACACCACACATCACTGTAGACTTTATTCAATAATTAGCGATTGCTCGCGACTTCGTCTGCGTGGATATAAAATAATAAATTAGCCTATTTTACTCACTAATAACATAGCTTTTTAATGGTAAAGGAAATATTGAAATCGCCCCAGTAATTATTAAATTACTTTAACCAATACAAATAAAAAACAAATCTTTCCTCTTTATAATATTAGTATATACCGGGAATAAAATAACAAAGTAACTTACCAAATTAGCATACATAGCGGACAAACTCTTGAGTATAACACACTGGTCCATTGAATTTGCTCTGCAGTATATCTTTGTGAGTGAATTTATTATTGATTCTATATACTCATAACTATCCACACTCAACCATTCCACTAAATCCATTATCTGTAAAATAGAATGTATAAGGTAAAAGTAGAAATTAAATATTAATTCTAAGATAAAAGTACAGTCAAAGTCATTGAAGGTGCCAGCAATATGATGTATAAGGGAGTTATATTTTAACATTAAAAATAAATGAATTTATTTCACTACACATAACTGAGTTTAATTTATATTTCCTTACTAAATTTTACCAATTAATCAAATAAAAAAGTTGTTAAAACAATTTTTACATCTTTCTATTTTTCCACTACAAAAATAAGAGTATTTGTACAAAAAACGTAGGAAATGACGTGAAATTACCTCACCAAAGAAGTCAGTTTCGTTCCAGAAAGCTAAAAACTGTGCGAGGAATCTCGTCACGACTGGAATGCCTTGCAGCACAGTGCGCTGGAATGTCGCCAGCCGGTGCAGCAAGTATCGCTTCTCCTCGTAGCTGTATGCTGATTTGTCAAAGAAACCTGATAATACAAATTATCACATTATTTACATGGTAGCATTTTTGCTACTATGCAATAAATTTGGAATGCAGTATAGGCTACACACAGATGATTTAATTTTATAAAAAAGTCCAAACCATGGAATTTGCCAAAAGGGAACAAGGAAGTAGATGTACCCCCCTCCCCCAAAGAAAAACATAGTATCATAGTATCAATCAATAGTAATTACAAAAGATAACTCAAAATTGAGATCAAAAACAAATATGCTTCATTTAAGCATTCTCTTTGCAATAAAAAAAACTATTTGACTCGACCATCGGCTGGCTACGCCCATTATTAGTGGTTCCTCTGTTTTGATTTAGTAACAAAACCTTCAGTATTTGCCTGGCAGTAAGTTTACTTTACATGAAGACCGCAAACAGACTCGACTGTACAAACTCACAATGGTTGAGCAGATGATGCAGGTCGTGCGAGAAGAATGCCTGTTCATCATCAGCGGCGAGTGCCAGCAGGGCCGCGCCCGTGTCGTTGCAGAGCAGCGCGCGCAGCCGCGCCGGCCGCCGGCAGCGCGCGCGCACGCCGTGCTTCACCACCGACACCGGGCTGGATCAACAAGAAACAATCATCTACCCTACTACTCCAGGTTTTCATTCTAGAAATAACTCTATCATCAATCATCTCAGTCATCACTCCCTAGATTATGTCACCTTTCACACAATCCATTCATTGCTTTCCATATCTATCTTTACCAGTGCACCACACTCATAACTAACATCCTCCTTGGGGTCCACTAATCATAAAAAGTACAAGAAGAAGAACATCCTCCTTGAAACATGCAATTCATCCCTCATGCCAATACCATGCTAATCTTTAACTCCATAAATTCTCAACCAATGAGGCTACTCTCAAACTTACTCTAATATCCTGAGACTACTTATCTTCTCAACAAAAAACAATATAAGTGACTAAACAAAAGGTAAGCAGCTGAATAAATTGAAAAACATTAATACAAAAATATACATTTTTTATAAGTACATTACTAAATCGTTGATGTATATTAAAAAAAGGTATTTTATGCATTATGTTATAAATGGACTGATGTTAGGAAAATATATAATTTACCTAGAAAAATCCAGATATGTTTTCTGTTCTTGTTCAGCATACTGCATTGAGCCAAGCTTTAAGAACTCCATGTTTGGTATTAATGGGTCTTTCTTATTCCTTCCAGAGTCCTGTACATATAAGCATTTTTTATAATATTATTTTAGAAACCAATAAATATAATTATAAATGACTAGCTTTCGCTCGCAACTCCGTCCGCGTGAAATAAAAAAAACAAAATTGAGTAGCCTATGTGTTCTTCCAGACTATCTTATAGATCTATGCAAAATTTTAACAAGATCTGTTCAGCTGTTTAGGCTTCAAACTCTAACAAACATCCATCCATCTAAACTTTCGCATTTATAATATTAGTAAGATAAGATTATAAATGATTATAAAGTACTTACACAATTCAATGGATTAGTCCACAACAAGTATTGTTTAGTATCAAACAATGAATTTCTTTTTCTCTGAAATAAAACACAAAAACTTTATAGTATGTTAAGTTGTATTAAGTATATTTCCCAAAAATTAAAAACAAAATAAAACACCTTTTCATTAAAAAATAACATTGTTTCCATTCAATTTAATTATTTAAATACTAGGTGTTACCATGCGACCTTATCCTCATGGAATTGTAAAAATTTTATTTTATTGCTTACATTTGTCAATTTATCAATTACAAATGTCAAAATGACATGACGTGATGACCATCTTGCTTCCTTGATGTTGGCAGCAACTTATGGTCTCTTTCCCACATTAGGGTTTTTATCCAAAATAATTACCCCCTAAGTTCAATGGCGGTAAAATATATAGCCTAAAGAGTGATGCAAGTGTAGGGTGTTTTATTGAAAAAGAATTATTAAAAAATACCCTGTTATTAGTGACATTTTAGACTACAAAAAAGTGTGTGTTTACACTTTATTATAATAGTATAGATTTAACTGTGACAAAACATACCTGAGTTATTGTGAATAGATTCAAAAGGTTTGCATTGATCTTCCTGAAAGATGTATGTATGGATATAGATGGTATGTCTTCAGGGACACATTCAGGTCTGTACGATTTGAACAACCCCAAGAGAACTTGAATCTGACGGTATAAGTTCTGAAAATATAATTGTTTAAGATAAATAAAACAATATTACATTTTTTTATGAAAAACAATTATGCTATAAAGAATGCTTGTCTTAATTGTTCAATAGATATTATCTTCAAAATTATAAATAGAAAAGATTTGTAATTTTTTTTACAATAAACTCAAAAATTATTGGAGTAATTCAAAAAAATCTTTAACTATTAGAAAGCTGCATTATCACTGATTTACTTAGACTATTATTATAATAACATCTAGATGAAGTTGCCAGCAATAGGTAGTAATAATTAATAACAAGTAGTACAAATAAAATAGTGATGAATTTGAGTGGAAAACATTTAAATAAATAAGTTAAATAAATACATCTCTATACCTTTTTTGCTTCTCTTTTCTTTGCACAGTCTAAAAGTTCAACAACTCTTCGTCTGCTAACATCACCTGGTTTAGTTAAATTGTATACCAATTTAACTGAATGAGGTGCCTAGAAATATAGCATTTTTATAGGTTAAATTACTTTTCTAACTGGGTTAAAAGACCTTGATGCTTTACTAAATATACTAACCAAAGTTTCATATGTCAGGGTTGAGTAAAAGACTTCATATCCAATATTAAGTAAATCTAATTCAATAGAATTGCAGTCCATTGCAGCTGTAACAAGAAAACAGAGTTTATTAAAGCACATAAATATGTAAAATAGATTTTTTTTATTATTTAGTGATAATGCTTACCTGTTAACCAGTCAAGTAAAAAGCTTATATTTGAAAAGTTTGATTGATTATCATATTTAGCAAGAATCCAACGAATTGCATAGTCAATGGTAGGTTTGCCGATCTTGTCTTTGGGGACCAAACATGCTCCAAGACTTGTCCATTTCGTTATTGCTGTAAATAAGAGAAATTGTTAAGATTACCTCTAGCAAGACATCAAAGTACCAAAACATCAAAGTATCAAGTGTTACTTACGTATTGATAAATTTAACCAAACTTTGAATAATGTATGGAAATCGTTACACTCCAAGCCTTCATTTTCCACAATATAAGCAAGTTCATCGATTTTACTTTGAAACAAGTCTTTATCAAAACCCTTTCTTAATGATTTAATGTAATGTATAATATCTTCTACATCTGTCATTTTGTATGCGCTTTTAATTGTAAACTCTTGAATTATACAAAAAAACACAAATACACAACTTAAAGCGTACAATCACAATACAAAAAGAATAACAAATTTTGAAATGAAAATACGTTATTTTTGACATATGTCGCGTGCAAAGTCAAAGTCAAAGTAAAGTTGGGACGTAGATTATACACAGATTTATAAAACCGTCTTGTTCCATTTTTAAGAAATAATATTTAAATAATAGAAAAAGAAAGTAAATTATTGAAACTGCGTTTTAACGAAGATTAGCAATTTCCTTTTAGAAGATTTATATAACAAAAACATTACAAATGATTCTCTCACAATACTTTGCTGTGCTTGGCAACAAGTTTGCAAAGAATGTTGTAACTAATTTTTAAGAAAATGAAAATTCATTGCAAGTACTTATTTACCCTATGTATAACAAGCGCATATTATTAACAATTTTTAGCGCTAAAGTAAGGTACATTAAACTTTTAAATTAAATGAGAGAAATCAATTTTTCTCACACAGTTCTCAAGTTAGAAACATTGATTTTAACATCCAATACTCTTAACTCGTAATTTATATTTAGGTATTGTTTTTTTTTGCTACGCCTAAACTATTAAAAATATATTTAAAACGTTATTTTGATCGTTTACTTAAAAATCGCTCTATCGTACCTTGTAAATGTAAGGCTTTTTGAACGACCGTGACAGCTTGTTTCACGGGGTAGCCACAGTATAATTTTTCCTTATGAAAAAGCAAATTTGAGTCCGATTTTTGTTTACAGAACTTGGAATGCCACTAAGTACAACTATTCGCTGCTACAATGTGTCCTAAACTATCAAATAATTGTAATTAGAGTAAATTAAAAAAAATCTTCTAATTGTTCTTCAATAATATACCTTGACACTTTCCTAAGGATTTGAAAGTTATTCAGCCAAAAGCCAAAACGATTGTTTTTCAAGGTTTAGGGTAAAAATTAAATTCGTCGGGCAAGCATTGAACCATAGACAAAATTCAAGCCATCCGTTATTTTTTTGCATCTCTGCTTGAAATGTCAAAATGAACGAATTGTCGTTTGAAGTAAACACAGTATGGATATTTGCCAGTATAGTATTCAATTAAATATGGTCAAATTAATTTAGTCAAGTAATTATAATTAGTGTATAATTTAAAGGCTTCAATATGTGGCCCATGTTGTTAAATATGACACGGGAAGAATGTCGCCAGACGCTTAGGAGACTTGGTATATATTTAGTACTATGGCATTATTTTTCCCTCCTATGATTTTATTATATGGAGTCTACTCAATAAAGTTGATTTAAAGTTTGAAAATAACTTTAAAAGTGTTATTGAGTAAAATGTCATGCATTTATTTGTAGAATTGGAAGCCTACTCGAAAATGATGAGTGTGTTAAGAGCACAAGGGGCATTGGAAGAGAATAGAAAAAAGTTGCTTGAGGAGCTCCGTGCGGTTTTACATATAGGCAACGATCGACACAGTGCCGAGGCGCGTCGCGTGTCTAATGACGAGTTATTAGCGACGATTGCAGACCAGTAAGTTCATATTTCCCACATTTGTTTGGGCCTCATGATTTATTTTTAAAACAGTGTTCCACAAAGTCAAAGATGGCAGAATCCACAGTTCAAATGCTGATGTTGTCTTACAATTTTTAGCATACCTTTTCTTAATTTTTAGTTGTATTTCTAATAAGATTTGGAACAAATTTGACATTCAATTTTTTTTCCTTTTGTTCTGATACATTTGATAACTTGAAAATGTGGGCACTCATTGAACTATGGAGCTAATGTTAGTTCTTCATTTCTTTAAAATAAAGATATTGATGTAAATAAATAATTGATTACACCAAAATAATTTATTTCTTATTTTGACAGATAACCTATAAGAAAGTGATTTTATTATAATTTATGTATCCATTTCACTTTTTGTTACATAAAATGGCTTCTAAAGTTATTTTAAATTGTGTTAATAATTCTAATATATTTTATTTACAATTTTTATTTCAAATTAATAGAATTGCAAGTGTATTTAAATTATGAAGGTACATTTTTATATAAACTTTATAATTGTTTCTCTATCATTATATAGATAATACATAATTGTTTACAATGAAGATAAAATAAGAAGTAATTATGTTGCAAAACTTTAATGTCAACAATGTTTGTAAATGTACTTTAACATGGACATTCTCCGAGTTGGCTTTATTGAAATAAATCTGGTTTCGAGTTGTTAATAAAATAAAATAGAAAAATCTCCTTTTTTTTAAGAAAAACTATACATTCCAAAAAAAAAAAACAAACTTGAATATGTAAACCATACATATTATAAATATGTTATTAGATATTTTTAAATACAACTTTTAAAGCATTTTTGTTTTTAAAAACTTAATTGTAACTTTTTTGGATCTACTTCCCATTTCATAAAATTCCCATGTTCATTTAACATAGGATATTTATTTGCATTTACTGATGTCTATGGGCATCAATTTATTAAAGCGTCGGTGGCTCAGTGGTTAAGGCACTAGACTTGTAATCTACAGGTCTTGGGTTCGAGTCCCGCCATGTACGAATGTGATTTTCGATTTTTGCGAATTTTCATATGTACATAATTTACCCGACATTCTTACGGTAAAGGAAAACATTGTGATGCAACCTGCACATATCGGTGACGAAATTCAAAGATATGTGTGAAGTCAACCAACCTGCACTTGGCCAGCGTGGTTGACTATGGCCTAGTCGCCCTAACTTAGGGTAGGCTCCGAGCCCCTCAGTGGAGACGTATAGTGAGCTGGTGATGATGATGATGATGATGGTATGGGCATCAATTTCTAATGTAACAAATGCAGTTAGGCATTTGCTCGACAAAAAAAATATTTAAATGAGCAATCCCCCGTCTCTTGTTTTCCTTCTCCATATTTACGCAATAAAAAACACATCCATGACTGATTCCATCAATCAATATAGTTTTAATATAATTTCCAGATTATCAGGACCAAATACAGGTATAGGATGGATCTGCGAAGGCAGAAGGCGTATACCACTTATGCCGCGGAGTATCCCACAAACAGCATACACAGAGATTGCGGATAAAGCGGCAGAAGCAGCAGCAGCTGAGAACAAAGAGTTACAGAAGAAACTAGAAGCTGAAAAACTGATTGCACCTAAATCCAGTGAAGAACAATACCCAGACCCTGAACGTGAAACGGCTGAAGGTGCACCCACGAATGATATGGACGAATTGTTATATCCACCTATTGCCATGGAAGATGAAACTTTAAAAGTAATTTATTTGACTTTTTTCTTTGAGCGAATTCACTCAAAAAAAATGTTGTGTGTTTGATAAATTATATTGTACTATGTGGCTTTGTTTGACTTTTTTAGCATGTTCTTAATGATTTTTAATTCAAATTACTATAAAAAATATATCTAATTTATTAATACCTTTGATTAATACAGTTATAGATTAAATGCCATTTTATTATATGTTTGATTTTTTTACAGATGTGGGAAACAGAATTAATATGTCGGAAAAGAAAAGTTCCCGAAGGTGGTGCAATACCAGACGAGGGGACGACGCCTGTTAAAAATATGAGGAATATACAAGTCAATGCAAATCAGAAACATGTTAATTTATCACAAATATACTCAAAATTCTCACAACCGGCTTCAAGTTAGTAACTTAAAGTTAATAACTAAGCTTTTCAACTAAACATCATCATCAAACTAAGATCATCAATTACTTTTTTTTTGTTTTTTCTTTGGTAAAATAAAACATACACGTTTTAGGATTTAAATTCGTAAATATGGCATATAGTGTAATTCGTAAATCGATTTGTAATTTTTTTTCAGGTAAATCTTCAAGTCAATCAAAACACTCATATAATCAAGTAAGCAAAGTATCAACAAGTAAAACAAATCCAGCCAACACCCCAAGAACATCCCACAAGCACAGGTCACACAAACAGAATGCAAAGAGTGCACACGCAAAAACAAATCAACGTAAATCACAAGAACTGCCCGTCTCACCAAACAAACAGTACAATACAAATGCATTGCAATCAGAATACAATGTAGCACCTAACTCATTTCAAGCCAGTTATGCTCAAACAGTGTTATCTAATAAAAACAAATCTGAATATATTGATGAAATCAAACCTAAAATATTGTCATCACCCGGAATGGTCTCCGATTCCCCCACAATGCAACTCCTCACGCAACCAGCGACCGTCCCGCACGAGCTGGGCGTCTCTGATAGCACCCATGCAGAAGATCCCGCCACCCTGCAGGCCCAAAGCACCCCAGTGCCCAAACAAACCACCAGCGGGAAGCCATGCCATCTCATCATCAAGAAACGTGGCGATACCACAGATAAAGTACAAATGTCTGAATTCAAAATATTACAAAACCCCTCCGATGGCGTTAAGATTTTAGCAAATCGGCAAGTCGTCGTCGCGCCAAGCTCCACGCAAAAGGCATTGAACACCGGCAAAGTCGTCACCACCAAAGTTATAGGGTCCGCCAAACCCAGAGCGACGAGCACACCGCTCCCCGCCGATAAAATGATCGTCGTATCAAAACCGACGATAGAAAGCAAAATGATAACAAACTCGAAAATTATTTTAACCTCCTCTGTCCCGAGCACGCCGAATAAAGAACCCTCTGGGGTCGCCGTTAGTGCAAATAACATATCGAAACCCTCCGAAACCTTCACTCCTAAAGGTATCCCCGCCACGGACTTAAAAGTTTCAGCCAAAACCTTTGTATTAAATCCGAAATCGGGTCACAAAATGGTCGTGTTGCCTGCCAAGAGTCGAACTAATCAAATCGGGGAAGTTCCCTTGTTACATTTCAAAGGTATACCTGCCGGTATGAAAATCGTCGCTGTCAGTTCGCAGTCGAACACTCAAGTTAATAAATCGACAGCGATGACGGTCGTATCGAAATCTGTCAATATCGTAAATACGATTCCTTCCAATGCAAAAATCTTAGGCGTCGAGCCAATTAAGACTGCCAACCTCGCAGATATAGTCCCAGTTAAAGGTCTCGCGCCCGTCTCCACACCGAAAATAAGCAACCCCATTGTGCGACCTACAGTTACGACAAAAGGTAACGTGATAGTGGTGCAGAAGGGCAGCGCTATAGGCAAAGCAATAACGTTCACCAAAAACGGTAACGATGTATCGAAGATAATAATGGGCAAAAATGTCAATCAACTCCTCCAAGCTACGAAACCGGATCAAGTCGATAGCGAAAAATGTCCAGGGAACGTCATCGTTCTGGAATTAAACAACGAACAGACCGGCCGACCTACCACCATGTCGGAGATACTGGACAGTCGCACCAGCACCCCGCGCGCTGCGGAGCAGTTCAAGAAAGTAGTTCCTCAAATAACTCAGGACACCCCAGTACTGTTCGAGAGTCAGATAACAGAGGAAACTTGCAATCAAAACAGCTTAGACTCAGCTGAAAGTATAGGAGATATCGTGCCGCTAGGACAGACCGATTCACCGATACACAAAGACGAAAGTAAAGATTTGGAGAAGAGTACAGAAAGTGTTAAGGAGTCGAGGGTCGCGGATTGGGAGATGGAACTGGAGTCTGTGTCCAAGGACAAGGATGAGGATGATAAGCTGAACTCGCTGCACCTCGACCTCGGGATGTCCAGCGACAGCGAAGACGAGTATATGGTGAAGTCACGCAAGGGAGAGAGCCAGCGGGGAGGTCCGGAGACCTCGCGCAGACTTACACCAACCGGTAAGTATTGTTGATAGTACCCAGAGTTGATTTTACAGTTACAGTTATGATACTAATATTTATGTACATTTTTAGGTGAGGATCACGAGTTGTACATCGGGTCTGGTCCATTGTCAATCGCCACACGGACTCTTTTGAGTCAATTGCAGGAGGAGGGTTCATCGAGTAACGATTCATCGTTCGCGCTTCGCTCAAAGCCCGACAAGACAAAAGATTGCGACATAAAGCTAGACAAATCTGAATCTGATGCGCTGACGAAAGCTAAAGAGAAGCTCAGCGAGAAAGTGGCCGAGTCCCAACAGAAAAGGATAGATATCTATAGCACGGCGATCACCAGTTCTGATATCAATCTGGATTCGTTCTCGTATCTGGATGAGGGCATGCTGGTGGGTGATGATGTGTTCTCGTCTGCGGAGGGTAAACGAGAACGGCGCGGTGAAGCGCTGGACGACCAGCTTAGCAGACTGCTCGCAGACGACTCCACCAACTCAACAGACTCACAGACAGTAAGTGAAAGTTTGCCTTCAAACAAACCATGAGCAATAATTTAGTTTTTAATTATATGGTGCGGTTTCAAGTGACATGACATTGTAAGAACGTTGAACCTGGAATTGAAAATGGTAGGCAAAGGTGACAGGCATGTACAAGAGGCTAAGAGAAAATTAAGGAAGCAATTGATTGTGGAAATATCGTGATTCATACATTAAATAAACAAAAAATGCAAAATTGTACACAGGTAACGGACATAAAAAATTCAAGCATTTCAATTTTCTTTACTTGAACATTGTCCACTTGGTAACATGGCTTTTGTCTTTCAAAGCTGGGATGACCCAATATTGTACTTTAGTAATAGTGGCTTAATGTACCAAATGTTTGTCTTGCCCGTCTATTGGCTATTTTGATAATTTTTTACATGCTTTTATCCGGACTTGCAAGTCAAAAAGATGTCAAATTTTTACAATAAAACAATATGTATAGTTAATAATTAAATCTCAATTTATACAATTGTTTCAAAACAAGCAATAATACATATATATGTATGTGTAAAATTATATACCTCACATAAGTACTAATTATACATTTAAAATCATATACAATAAAAATTTTACAGCACTTTAACAGAACATAATATATATTATCATAATAAAATTTCAAATGTAAATATTTATCCTTTAATAATAAGATTTCTGTATATATTTTGTTTAATTACTCATTACATTTAAAACCTATTTACTAAGAGATTTTATAGTTTATTACAATTCAATACCTAAACATTGTACTATTTAAAATAACGGAAATGTTATTGAACGAAACATGAGAATACTCAGTTCACATGTGTACAGTACAACGCTGGCACGACACTAACTCGTCAGTCAATTTAATCCTTGCCAGTCCAGCCCGACTGTCCTCTAAAGATGAAAGAATCGATGTACAATTTTATAAATTTGAGGTAATTGAGTTGAAATAAAATATAAACGCGTTACATAGTGTTTCGCTGCGTCGCACAAACTGAAAAAAAAAACATTTGTATTACATTGTGTTAATTATGAATTACTCTGTTAGTAGAATAAGACTAATATTTTTGCTTAAAATATATAGTTAAATTATGTTATATAGTTTTCATATATTTAGCTAAAGAACCATATATATAAATATATATTGTTATTTACTAGAGAAATATTGCATAGTAATGCTTGAATTGTGAAAACTTTTGACGTTATATTAACTTCTTGATTTACGAACGGGGGTCTATCACGAAAATTTTTATGAAAGAATTCGTAACGTCATCGACATTTGTATTAGATTTGAGCAGCGTATTACAATATACAAATTTCGTTAATTATGTTATGAATTCTTGCAAAGTTTCGTGCTAGACTTCAGAACTGCAAACAAAAACATGAGTGATACATAAATGTCCCTGTTAAAATGCATCATTTTTAATTTATTAAAATAACTGGTTGCCAAGAATTTCAAGGTTTTGCGAATAATTCCCGTTCTCTTCTCCGTTATTATCTTTTTTTTAAACAATGATAATAATTTTAAAAGTAACAAAACATATTGAATGACAAAATAATTCGCACAAAGTATCATTGTCCTTTTATACACCAATTTTTTTTTAACCATTTTTCAGAATTATTTATTTCTTAATTTCCATACATTCATTACAATAAAAAGCTATTTTCAACTAACATATGAACACCAAATGTACTTTTTATGACAAATATGTCCTGTGATAAACAGCAATATATATTATAATTTTAACGTTGCCTTAAAAATAAAAATTATTGCTTAATAATTTGTAATATTGTAATCAATACTGAATAACAGATTGGTTTTGAATAAACTTCCAAGACAGCTAAAAACATTATCATTCCATTTATAGCAAATAAATTTCTTAACAAGGATGGAATAATTAATATAGATACCAGAATTTCATCTTAAAAATACACAATTTCATATAACATAATGTATCAGCAGTTGGGTTCTCCGCACATTTGAAGACATCTTCACTTTATGCATGACATATCGACAAAGCATATTAACAATACAAATGACAAGATGCTTATTTAAACAGTAATAGATGCAAATTGTTACCGTCCATGGTTTACTTAAAATAATATGCTATAAAATACTAAAAATGTATTATGTACAGTTAAGGAAAATGGCTGTCCCACCTCATAAGATACGGTTGTTTCCGTTTTGTTATTAACCAATAGATAGCTTATTTTAAAGTGTATGAAAAGAGGTCTTCGCTAAGCTTGCTTATTACCTCATAATTTGCACAACTCACTATGACGTTATTGGTTATTCGTAAAAGGCGGAGTTTGTTTCGAAACAAGGCTATGTTTCTGTAAGTTGAACACCGGTGATTTCCGCGACTGTACATCACAATATCTTGAGCTAAAAGTTTATTGTAGTACAGTTAGCTGCATAAATGTATTCAAGTTTTCAGAAAAATTTATACGTTTTCGGTTTCAAAAATACGTATGCACATAACCATTTACTTCCTACCGAGATAAAGTATTGTAAATTTGAGTACATATTTTTGAAACCGAATCCCTAAATATGTTTTCTTCTGTAAATGTATACATATTTATGCAGCTGACTGTACATTATCATATACTATATGTGCAACACAAGCAATAGTAATTTTAAAAAGTAATCTCGATTTCAAGAAAATGTGAATCTTATCTTCAAAATAGAAGTTTTAGGTTTTTTTTTTAAATTAACTGCTTCAACATGACTTTATATTGAATATCACATATCAATTTAATTAATCACATATAAACATGTAACTAGATTTGCACAAGTGAATAATCATCAAGAATATTTTAATTTTCTTTAAAGAAAAGAGTTATTTATATAGTATACATGTATTGCAACTGGTAACCATCAATTTTAATTTTTACATCACAGGAATTTGTTATTGTTAATTAATGGTAAATGTTACTTGTCGTTAAGACGAACGAGGAACTAGATGTAAGCAAAAACGCATCACATCGAAAACAAATTAATTCATTTTTTTTAATTTGGCCAACTAATAAATCCGCTTCACGAACAGTATGTATATTTTGTATATTTATTCGTTTCTTGTTATTATCTTGTTAACATTTTTTTAATCTTTGTTTTTTATCTATGGAATGTTTTCGGTCGTTTAATAGTGTTAATTTTTTTGTAAAATTGTGTGGTCACCTTAGCAATATTTCTTGTTACCCTTATTCCGCAGCCTGTATGTCCATGATGTCTGAATAAACAATGCATGTAAAATATTTTAAATAGATTACCTTTTGTATTGTAATTTTTAAGTTCACTATTTGTTGAACTATGAATGGAGTTTGGGAAAATGTCGGTATTTGTTGAAAATTCAGCAGTTTGTCACCTTGGAAAGGAAAATGTAAAGCAATCTTAAGTCCTACAATGGTACATATTTATTTCTTATCGGATGATTTTCATTCGATTAAGAAATTGTGCCATGTATAGTATAGGTTATGACGAATTTGTAAATATTTTTAGTATACATTTTTTATCGACAATTATTGTCATATACATTACGTGTAAAAAACTTGCAATGTATAATTCACATTTTTTTTGGATGTGTTACATATATTATTAAGTTTCAGTTTAGTTCAATGTTAATTTTAGGTGAGATGCAGTTCAAGGTTGTTGGAAAGTGGACGCGATGTGTTCACGCTGTAATTGTAGGTTATTTGTAAAAATAGAATATTTTTTTAAAAAAAACAACAGTTACTCGACCTGCATCGTTTATTATAAGCCATTTTTGTTTGTCAGCTGTAAATATTTTGCATAGTTTAGTTCAGTCATAGAATCACCCGCGAGAATGTTAATACAATTTCTACGTTTTGGCATCGAGTTTACTTTATCTACTTATATTAACAATAAACAGTTTAAATATACAGATTAATATAGTTTTTATTGATAAACCTTTATAATCTTTATCATAATTTAAAATAGGGAATATGCATGTATTTTTTTTTTCTGAAAAAAAAAAATGAAATATGCAACCATTGGCTAAAAATAATAAAATAAGATTACGACCATTTTCGAGCAACTACAACACGACCGGAGTTGTCAACAGACAATTGACGTCAATCGCCTTATTCCATTCATAACATAGGCTCAGATGACAGATGTCACTTCAACGTAAAAACAACAAAGCTTCTCAAGGTCAAAAAGTCAAAAACCGATTCATTTTTATTATTCCTGGTACAAATAAGTGGTAATTAAGAATTCTATTCATATTTTTTTTTTATTTTAAAGTTGGTTTTGATATCGTGTTTACAGTAAAATACTTCAAGGGTGTATTTCTATATAAACTAACGTAAATGAACTGTGTATTGACAACACAGCGACGCCATATTAGATAAGCCATTTGCTTCGACCAATAGTGAATTAAAGACACTTTTCAAAAAAAGACACTTTTTAATGATTAAAATTTGCCACTAAATCACATTATATTAAAAATCTTTGCAGGAATGTTTTTATAGTAATAAAGTATACTTAAAAAAAGTTTGGTGCAATTTAGCGTCATATGCATATTGCCTATTGAGAGATCAAAATGGGGTTAATAATAGTCCATAGTATAATTTAGTATTTATTAAATAAACACTAAAAGGCATACGTGTGTATAAATAAAATATAAATGGTTGCAAATGAAATATAAAAGTAGTCGTTAGAGCAGTGCAGTGTCGCTAGGCGGTGACGCTGTGTATGGCGTCGGCGACGTACTGCACGTTGTTGGAGGACACGCCCGCCACAGAGATGCGGCCGTCCTTCGTCAGGTAGATGTGGAAATCTTTAGTAAGGCGCGCCACCTGAAACAATACAATTATAGTAAACAACATAACCTAAAAAATTGTGTGCTATTCTAATATAATAAACACTTATTTGTTATATAAATGTCAGCAATTAGAGTTCTTTTGAATACTTAAAAAATACTTCACTTACACCACGCAATAACGCAAGTATAATCTGAGGGGGTAAATAAATTAGAAAAAAACTTCATGTGGGAAAGAGACAATAAACTACAAGCCGAAAACATCAAGGAACCAAGGTTGCCATGGTAACGGTAATTGTTATCCAATGTCAAAGGTCTTCATTGTCATTTGTGTATTTGAATTTTGATATTTGCAATCGAGAGTTTGACAAAGGTAAACAAAATAAAGTTTTTATAATTTCATGTGGACGAAGCCGCACGGTAACAGCTCGTGTCAGATAAAAGATAAGCATCCCTACCTTAAGGGCAATTGCCTTATTTGTGACAAAATTTTCAGGAAACTCGATAATGGTTGGAATAAATTAAACAATCTGGTGTGTATGTTGATGAGAGGTAAGAAGGAGGTGGTACCTGGTCAGGTTTGAGTCCGGTGTAGCAGAACATGCCGATCTGGTCGGTGATGTGTTCCCAGCGGTGAGGGTTGCCCGCCTTCTCGATGCCCTGGCGCAGCTGCTGCCGCATGCTGATGATGCGGTCCGCCATCAGCTTCACGTCGCACAACCTGTCAGTGGAACATAGGCATAAGATATTTGCATTTTACATCAAATGATGGATGTTTGTTACTAAGTACCATAAGAATTGATTTCGCTAAAAAATATCTGGAAAAACACATAGGTTACTTAATAAATTTTTTTGTAATTCCACACAGACGTATTCGCGGTCGACAGCTAGTATTTACAATTTTTATGTTGGGTGGATGATTGCGAAAATTATTATCCTATACATTACACAATTCATTGCTATTTTTACACAATTATTATAATATAATTGTAACAACGTAATTATCTTAAAAACTCAGACCCAAAAATGGCGCGCTGTTCTCAATTAACTGAATGACATTGACAGCTGTCAGACGTCCTGTCTATGCCGATCTAGTGTTGCCCGATTTTCTTACCACTACCTATTTGTCAGGAAGGCGGTCCTTGTCTAGTAAAACCAAAGTTTCACCACGGTTTTCCCTAACTGTAGATAACGAAAACCGTGCGGTTTTCGCGGAACTTTCTGCCCCGCACAGCCGCGTTGTGGAACGGTCTGTCCTCGGCGATATTTCCAAACCAATACGACTTACGGTCCTTCAAGAAGCGAGCCTATCATTTCCTCAAAGGCCGGCAACGCATCTGTAGTTACAGATGTCTTTGGGCGTCGTTGACCACCTCGGTGATCTCGCCGGTCGTTTGCCCCTTTTATTATAATAAAAAAAACGTACCATATTTCCTTGAGTTGTGGGTTGTTGAGTATCTCCTGCACGATGCGGGCGCCGTGCAGCGGCGGGTTGGAGTACATGGTGCGGATCATGATCTTCACCTGCGACATCACCTTGGCGGCGGACTCCGCGTCCCCGCACAGCAGCGTCAGCGCGCCCGCGCGCTCGCCGTACAGCCCTGCACACCGCATACAGCTCATACAGCTCATACACATCTCATACACAACTCATACATTTTTTTAAAATAGAATTTTTATTGCCACAAAAAAAACTACATAAACATTTAATGCACAAAACCTTAGAGCTAATATAAAAAAAGAGAGAGATCTCATACACAACTCATACATATCTCATACATATCTCATACACATCTCATGCACATCGCATTCACATCGGTAACACATCTCATACTTATTTCATACAGTCTACACTTAAATGCAGTAATATGTGTATTTATAACACTACTGTACAGATGTTGGGTTTTATATACCCTATATATGTCTATACATCTATACTAATACTATAAATAGGAAAGATTTGTATTTTTGAAATATCTCAAAAATTACTGGCAACTATTAGTGGCAACGAAGCGTAGTATTAAAGATTCGTTTCAGTATTCAGCCTTAATTTAATCGCTGATAAGCTTGATACACTAAGATTTTCCATTGAAAAGTAAAAATGTCGATAACAAAAGACGTCAATCTGATTACGGGGTCAATGTGTTTCTAAATGATAATTAGATACGACATTATAGTCGGACTATACTCTTACATTAAAGTTCAACCCTTTAAAAACATATACTATTATCAACTTTTTAAGAAAAATAACTCGTCGGTGTAATACCACGACCTCACAGAAGACGGGCGTGAAGTGAGAGCAATTCCACGCACAGTCTGATGAGTGTGGTGCTGGAGGCATATTTAAGTCACTTTTCCCTTACATCCTTTTCGTAAGAAAGGATGGGAAGCAAAAGTACATTAGACGTTGGAGGAGAGGCATTGGAAAGGAGAAATATCCTTTTTATGTGCGTCTCCCCTTCCGTCGATTAAAGGCAACGCAACTGTTATTGCGGATGTGTATGGTCAGCGGTCGCTTCGCCATTTCGGCAAATTCAGGTGTCCGCTTGCTCGTTTGCCACTTTATGATATAAAAAGGTTATCTGCTATCCTCCTAGGACTTTCTAGGTTTTGTTTTCAAAGCTGTAAATGTGTTACCCATATTTTTAGCGAAGCTCTGCGCCAGCGTGACCTGGTGTCCGTCTTTAACGAACAGCCTGACAGCGAAGGCGTCGTTGTCCACGCTGCCGGTGGCGAAGCCCTGGTACGCCATGTCGAAGAACGGGAACAGGTTCCGCTGCTTTATAGCCTACATACAAACAAGGACAAACTGCAATCCATCATATACTAATATTGTAAAGAGGAAAGATTTGTATTTTTGTATTTTTGGATATAACTCAAAAACTACAGGGCCGATTATAAAAAAAATTCACCATTAGAAAGCTACATTATCAGGAACGAAAGGTATATTTTTAATTTTATATATATTCTATGTGTTTGTACAATCCTTCCGTTACATCTCACCTTCACTACCATCTTGACCTTTGAAGTTCATTATCAAGGCTAGATTATCTAATCCCAGAGATAACAAGTGACATTCAAGACACCTAACAACATGTATTGTTATAAAAATCATCTTACTAATATTATAAATGCGAAAGTTTGGGTGGACGTTTGTTAGAGTTTGTAGTCTAAACGGCTGAACGGATCTTAATGAAAATTGACATAGACGTAGAGGATAGTCTGGAAGAACACATAGGCTACTCAGTTTTGTTTTTTATAATTCCACGAAGACGGAGTTGCGGGCGAAATCTAGTATCTTTATAAACGAGAGGTATGGAAAACACGTGTCGCAAGAGGGGTACCATACCCCTCTATATAATAAAATAAAAATAATCTATGTAAAAATTAATATGAAATACTACGATAGATCCCATATAGATCCACCAAAATTCGAAAACAACTTGTCAGTTTCCATTCCCTATCTGAAAAGCCTTTGAAATAAAGAACTAACCTGGGAGAGCTGTTCCCAGTCAGCTGGTCGCGGGTCGACGCCGGTGGGGTTGTGTGCGCACGCGTGCAGCAAGATTATAGATCCTTCGGGAATTCTCTGCAAATATGACACAGATATTGAAAAATCCTACATTTAATGTCAACTTAGTCCAAATGTGTAAAACTGGCAATTAAAATCAAGGTCACAACCTAATTTGTAATGAAAATTTTATTTGTTAATTATTGTCGGTTAAACTTTCTTACAAGACAAACACTTACAGCCTTACAAATAAACGCGGTATAAAAATAAACTTAGGAATAAACTGGGTATAAGCAAAATGTGTATTAATATTTGCTTATACTCAGTTTATTCCTAAGTTTAACTTTATATCGCGTTTATTTGTAAGGCTGATTAGATTTTAAATTTGTTTAAATAACTTTGTTCCTTTAAAATTTATTTATTTAGTTTTATTTCATCATCCACATAAAAATATTGTTAACAGTAGGCTATTTTTAGTAACAATCTAATATCCGGAAAATTTAAAAAACGTAATTTTTCTATTTAATCGAATTCATTCTATACATCATTTTGAGGTTACAATAATTTCGTAGTTTAAACGTCATTAATAACGTGAGTATTCGAAGATTAATAAGAGGCTATCAGCGTGAGTAAACGCGTTATTACGAGATTATTACATAAATTTTTCGATCTTCCACTATCAATCATACGACGGTCACGTAGCAGCGGCGTGGCTACTATCTGAACGTATCTGATACCACGCGGGGGTAGGCAGGTTTAATGCGGTTACAACCAATTCATATCTATTAATCTATTATTGCTGAATTAGTCATCTTCACCATTATCACCAGGCCTATACGTCTCCACCGAGGGGTTCGGAGCCTACTCTAAGTTAGGGTACCTTGGCCATAATAATACTAGAATTTGAGTTAAAAGAAATTCGAATCTTTGCAAAATTGGTCAATTTTAACCGCCAAATAACGAATTAGGTTAAATATTTATGGTGCAAATTGAATATTCTTCTTCTTATTAAAGTGCCATCTTCTTCCGAAGTTCGGCGATCATTAGGGCGACTTTCGTTCTTGACACCGCGGCTCTGGAACAGTGAACGGAAGCTCTTTCCATACCACTGGCGTAGGTTTTTGAGCCAGGACGTTCTTCTTCGACCTACGCTTCGCTTTCCGTGGATCTTGCCTTGTACGATGAGCTGCAGTAATTCGTATTTGGCATTTCGCATTATGTGACCTAGGTACTGCAGCTTTCTTTTCTTAACTGTATATATCACTTCTGTCTTCTTCTTCATGCGTTCTAACACGGTTACATCTTTAATTTTGAAATTGAATATTAATCTAGGTTAAATATAACCATGATTTTATTGTAAATGGTAAATAACACCAATTTGTTTTTTTAGAGATTATTTTTGACCCCAACGTGAAGACCTAATTTGTTATCTCTTAAATGACGTAAACACAGTTCGCGTAAACAATCGCATATTTATGACAACACGTTATTACGAAATTATAACATTAAAAGAATAATATAAACATTTGACAGGAAATTCTGAAAAAAAAAACTTAAGGTTTTGTGCTTTTTAATATTTTTATATGCATTCAAAAGCATCAAGCTTAAAACCCAACTTGTAAAGCATGATTTTTCTATTTCAAGATTTTTTTTTAAATAAATAGTCACGCATTAAACAAATTTTAAGGTATTTTTTAAGATACGATTGTAATAACATGCATCATCGTGGCTTTCATAAAATTATGCCAATCACGGTTACGATTAAAATAATAGAAGGATACGAGTCCAATGTTAAAAAGACGGCAGCTAATTTCTTTAGTTTGTAAACGTGGGTATTCCACTTGTACAAAACATATCAATGATTTTAAATGAACAATAGAAATATATGTAACACTACGTTTTTCCTCCATTTGTCCTATAGAAATACTTACGCAAATATCTTCGAGGGCTCCATTAAGATCGAAGCCGTGCGTCTTAGCATCGTAATAGCGGTACTTCTTGTGCGGGATGTTGAGGGTGTTGCAGATCTGCGGGTGGTTGCCCCACGTCGGGTTCGGCATCCATACCTCCTTGTTTTTGGCGTAATGCTTCATTATGAACTCAAAGCCGAGGCGTAGAGCGCCTGTACCGGATAGAGTCTAAGAAAAAAAAAATATCTTGTTAATTTTGAAATCTTATACCCTTGAAAAATATAAAAAAAATGACGAGGCTCGCTAACCCTATAATAATGTCATGTAAAACGTAATCATTTTAGTTAGAGTCTATTATGAAGTCTTAGCAAACACACGGTGCCATAATTTCAAAAGAATACCACTTGCAGTTTATCCCATTTTCATCTAAACCAAAGCAAAGCTCTAGAGAACGACTTATGTCAATTTGAAGATTAAATATTTTAATGATTTTTTTCTCTAGACATCTTAACAGGAGTCATTTCTCATCCTTAAAGACACACCTCCACATTCATATAGATATGAGAAAGGTATGGAGTCAATGGCGGATCCAGGGGGGCGTCCATGCCCCCCCCCCTACGCTGGTTTTCAAGAGCTTGACAAAATATATTTACATGTTTTGACAAGCTCTTGTCTTGACTATGACTATATGACCCCTCCCTGGCGCCAAAGCTGGATCCGCCCTATGGAGCCACATCAAATGGTCCTGCCTACACCATTGGTTTACAGTCGTAAGCTGTTTCTATGTTCTATTACTTAATCCTTTTAAAACTCTCAACAACCTACATGTTTTCGCCATATATCTTTCATATAGGAATAGAAACAAAAATAGTTTTGGCGCAATGCCGCGTCTGAAATAGTGCTGAATGATCGTCAAGGTAACTCGACTTTATAATAGATAACGGATGCACCAATGGAGACAAATTTAGACTTGTTACTATAACTCTTTTTGGACAAAATGGATGGATGGATGGATGTTTATTAAAGTTTGTAGCCTAAAACGGCTGAACCGGATTTCGTTAAAATTTGGCATAGATATAGAAAATAATCTAGAACATAGGCTATTCACTTTTGTTTTTTTTTTTTTAAGTCCACGATGACAGAGACGCGGGCGAAACCTATACACTAATAAATTAGAACGATTCATTTTTATTATATTTGGAGTAAACAATTCACACTGAATTTGACATAAATGAAAAATTAATGATAATTAAAAACACGGCACAGTAAAGTTGCATAATCGAGTTTCTTATGCACTCGAACACACGTCACATGATTAAGCGACAAGTTTATACACCGTAATTAGACCTAGCTAATAGTTACTAAGCCATTTACAAAGGCACATTTTACCCAGTAATCTTAGTAATATAACTGCTTACTAATATTATAAATATTTAGATGGATGGTTTGTATTATCATAATGGCTTCACAAATTTCAATGAAATTTGGCACAGATGAACATCTGGAACATAGATTGCTTGCTAAGTACTTATTCCGCACAGTCAAAGTTGCGGGAAAAAGATAGTACACTATACAGATTTATACAGTTATTACAGTATTAGCTTTCGCCTTCTAGACTATCCCTTACGTCTTTGCCATATTTTATCGAAATCAGTTCGGCTATTTAGGGTACAAACTCTAACAGACATCCATCTAAACTTTTGCAATTATAACACTAGTAAGAAGTAAGATTAGTAAGATTTTTCTTCCAAGTGATATATGGTAAATATATCAAGCTTGAATATTCTAAATTATTAATGCAATTCTGATGTTTTTTATCCTTTACTCAGTATTTAAAAGAAATTGATTCAAATTAGTTTGCTAACAACTTTAGTATATAACGGGACACTTTTAGATTAGCAACAAAATCTTTATTTATATACATTGTTACTTGTTTTGAATTATCTTGACCTATGAAATCTGGATCCAATCCAAAATTACCCATTGATATAAACAGATCATTGACTTATTACAAATAAACATTCATATTATATAACCATTGTCAAATATATAAAAAGTTATGTAACAATTGTATTTATATACCAGACATATTTGCATGTTTTCAAATTCTTTACAAAGATATATTCTATTCTATTGAAGCTGGCTTTCATCCAAACATTGCACTAATAAAAAACCAACAGTGTATGGACTAGTACATAACACTAAATTTCCCTTTTCTTTGTTCTTATGGTTTTTTAGAGGATCTTGTTAACAATCTATTATAAAAACTATGTTCTGTTAATGAATGTATATATATATAAATGTTTATGTATATTTTATTTTAACACTTTTATAAACACAATTTTTATCTGTTAATTTGAACATACAGGGTATTCTAGTAGTCAATGTCAGTGTTAAGGTGACCACACATGGCACTTAATGGAATAAGACAACACAGGGTCCAACATAACCACTCTTGTCCCTTCAAGGGTTGTATGTATTAGGCATTTCCCCACGATAAAAAAGGACAACACAGGGTGAATTAGTCTTATGTAACCTAGCCTCCAGGGACATGGTAAAAAAGGGAATGCAGTAGAAATTGTTCCTAGGGTTTGTAGCTCGTAAAACCATCTATAACAGTTGATGTATTAATATCTATTTGAAAGATAACCTATGTTATGCTAAGAAATATATATCAGGGTAATAGGTAGGGTTTAAATTACTTACTTGTACTGTGCAGTTTGATTTGTCTTGGAAAATAGGAGAGTCTTCGCCGAATGCAAGTTTAGCAACGGCATCTGTAAAGCCTGCCTCTCCGCCGATCGGTGCATATTCATGATTCAGGCATTTGTTGTAGATGATTTCCTCTGCCTGTACATAACAATATATTTATCATACTAATAATATAAATACAAAAGTTTAAAATAATGTTTATTACTACATCTCCTAAAACAGCTATTTGACACAGTCTGGAAGAATCTGTATTCTTACAGGCTGCTTACTAAGTTTTTTAAATTTTGTGCAAAGTTGCAGGAAAAAGCTAGTATAGGTGTGTCATAATCTACATTTATATTTCCGATACATAGTTGTATAGGAACTATAAAGGCCTTAAAAAAAAAACGCCTTAGTGCAAGAAATCTGCACTAAGCATATGTTAAAAAGCCATTAATTTAAACCAAGTGTTAAAAATAATCTTTCAAATGCCGGTAGTAGATAAAAACCACTTCTTTGATATCTACTAAATCTTAATCTAGGCAATTGCAACTATATTCACAAATTGAAGATTAGATATCTGTTATAAAGAATAATGGGATATTGTTCTGAAAATAACAGATCCACTAAAAAATATATTTTTGAATTTAAGGACTTTATCAGTATAAAATTGAACTCATGTATGGTAAATTATTCACAATGATAAAATGTATCACATTACCACATTTTTTAATTACAACACTTTATAAGACCACAAGGCACTTTTATTTGCTAAAATTTAATTTTATTAAAACTGTAACTAACATAATTGCTAACCAAAGTTTTTCATAAGTAACTATGTAAATTTATATTAAAAAACACACCTTTCTTACTGAAGGCAATACAAAAGGTTTCCCCTCATCATCTCTGTAGGCTCCTACACCTAAGTTTACTTTATTTGGGTTAGTATCCCTTTTGTATGCTTCAGTAATGCCTAGAATGACATCGGGTGGTCCCATTTCCACATTGCTCCACCAAGTACTAAAAAAAAACAAAAATGTTAAATACAAGATGGATGGATGTTTACTATTTATTCCAGAACTGCTCAATAGATCTCATTAAAATTTGTTGTATAGAGCAGACTGGAAGAATACTGAGGCTACTATTTACGTTTTAATTCCGCGCGAACGGAATCTCGGGCGACAGCTTGTAGTTACATTTAAAATTGTTTTTTGTGTAGTTTAATAGTGTGTTCTGTATATTAGAGTGTTCATTAAAAATTGGTAGTGCAGTAGTCACTGCCGCATATAATGTAAATTGAAAGTATACAACAAAACAATTGACAAATGTTAAAAATGCGCGTACACCATTTCTTCTAATTCTACTGTATTTGACAGCCGTTTAAAACCTTTAGGATTAAAAAATCCACCAAAGTGCTTAACTAAGAATTTCAGACTGTTCATCTTTTGATATTTAATATTTTTCAATAATACTTTACGAGTATTTTTTCATTCGAGAGAAACCAGAACCTTTTTACCACTGACATGTCTTGTCATTCTTATTCGAATCCTATAAAATTATAAGGAAAATAAAACATGCTTTCGCATGCCATTTTTTTCCTATTTTAAACAAGCATTTATTGCAAACTAAGATTTAACTTTGTTACGTAAATAATCATAAACGCCGGTACCATACCTGCCAGCTCTGACAGCCGAGCCTCCGATAATATCCACATGTTTATTTTTCAGCACTTGGACTGTTAATTTTTTTAGTACTTGGCTCATTTTAATACTGGTCGACCCTCGTCAGCAGAGTATGTGGAATTGAATATGCCCGCCGGCGACTACTAGGAATTTAAATTAAATTAACCCTACACCAAACTATGCAAGTCTGCAATTTACTGAATGAATGGAAAATGGTGGAAAATGTTTTAACTTTGACTGATAAAATTATTGCCAGATACTACATTTTTAATTACCCTAATTTAAAAATTTATTTATTTTTCACTACAATCTATATGTTTTTCGGTGAACCATTCTTATTCACTTTTTTGATACCACTGCCATATTGCGTATTCTATTTGTTTCTAGATAAATAATCTCCTTGGACCTACCAAATCCATCTTGGTCGTTTTCTGTGATATTTAACTTTGACTTATTCCAAAAATAAGGCTAATTAAAAACCTGGCAACATAAAGAAACTTGTTTTCACTGCCACTACACAATAACAAAAATATATTACCATCCTTTAATTTCTGAAGAGAACGACAAGGGCGACAGTAAGCCTTATGAAGATACTTTTGCAGTGGAAACTTACGGTTTTTAAAAAAAACATGTACGTCATCATTACCACGTCAAGGTCGCCGAAAGGTCATTATTTCCAATATTCGCAAAAAATATAGCATATATAGTCCATATTGACTAAATACTATAACATACCCAAATAAAATTGAACGTAAAACAAAGCCAGATACAATATTATTAAATCCTTTGCTAATCATTGTTCACAGATCAGTCATCAATTTACAGACCAGATTTCCTGAAAATGCATTTATACCTAGTAAAAGCAAATATGTCTGTAAAAATCTATATCTCATAGTGTACATTGATATAAGAAGAAATAATATAGTTAAGTTTTTTGAATGTAGGAACTTGCAAAAATAATTTTCAACATTAGTAAAAGCGAGCTGTTGCCCGCGACTTCGTCCACGTGGTATTAGAAAACATACGAACTATATAAATTACAAAAAGCTGCGTATCCCTCGGGAACCGGACATTTCTATGGGATGAAGCTTATCTCATGTGTAGTCGCGATTTTTTTTTATATCTGTGCCAAATTTCAATAAGATATGTTGAACCGTTGCAGAATGATCGAGTGAACATTAAAAAACTAAATAAATAAATCACACGGAAACCGTAACTATTCCCGGGATAAAAAGTAGCCTTTGTGTTCTTCCAGGCTATGCTCTAAACCTGTGCCAAATTTCATGGAGATCCGTTCAACCGTTTAGGCTACAAACGCTAACAAACATCCTTCGATCCATCCATCCATCCATCCATCTAAACTTTCGCATTTATAATTTAGTAAGATTAGTAAGAAGTAAAATCTTAATCAATAGAGAGGTTTTATTCGAATTTTATAATCTACTTAAACACAAAACAGCCATAGATAAGGCCGAAATGTCAATTTTATTATGACGTTTACTTTTTGCACAGAAGTAGTGACGAAATAAGTGTTTATTTGCCGTAGAAATTGAAAAATATGGCTGCTGAAATTAAGCCTGCACCTAGAACACCCAACGATAGATTTTCTACAACAAAAAAACCGGCACTTTTGAGCAAACTCGAAGGTTGCACCGACGACGTTAATGCTGCTGTCGTGATACCTGGCGAGGATGGAGTTATTAGTGTTTGTGATGATAAGTAAGGATATCTTTTAATTACTCTGACTAATACTACTTTCTTGTATAATCTTGTACATCTTACAAGCTTGTGGTGTCGATGAAATTGATAAAAAATAAATAGTGTACCCTCATTAGACGACCTATATTCAGCCGGTTGTAAACCGTTTTAAAACCTTGTTACTACTTCCATAATTTATAGGACAGTACGAGTGTGGCTGAAGCGTGATTCAGGACAGTACTGGCCTAGCATCTGTCAGTACATGCCATCTGGCTGCACTTCAATGTTCTATACACCAGAGACGAGGCAACTATTCATTGGGCAGGAGAATGGAACTATATCTGAGTTCACACTTGCAATGGACTGCAATAGGATAAATCCTGTAAGTTGAACTTTGTATACATTTATTGTAATTATTTCCTAGATATGCTAGTACTTTATCTAAAAGCATTGCTATGTAGTAAAATTTGATAGCACATTAAGGTGATAAGACCTGTTAGTCTCTTGTATTACATCTCACAAAATTGTGTTTTAATACATTGTCTATTGTAAATATAATTACAAACTTAATAGTGTAACATTTGTATGAAAATATATGGTCAGGGCAAATTCTCTTTGGACTTATTATTAAAAACATATTGTATCATAATACTAGCTGTTCCCATGCGACTTCATCCGCATAGCATTTATCTTTTTATTGGTATAATTGTAATTGTAACACCCTTATTTTCAATGAATTATTTCTATTATAGAATTATAAATATTTCATTTTAATGTTCACATTTGTCAAATTATCAATTGCAAATGTCAAAATGACATGACATGATGTCAGACCATGGCAATCTTGCTTCCTTGATGTTGGCAACAACTTATGATCTCTTTCCCACATTAGGGTTTTCATCCAAAATATTTACCCCTAAGTTTAATGGAGTGAAAATATATAGTCTAAGGCGTGACCTAATTTCGGGGCTTTCTATTAAAAAAAGAATTGAGATAGCTGACATCTTAGGCAACAAAAAAGTGTGTGTTTACGCTTTATTATATTAGTATAGATTATGTTTTATACAAACAAATTTTGTTTGCAGAATTCAATAAGTAGACTAAATAGGATGACTATATGTCTATACTGATAAAGAAAAAATTATATTTCTGTTTGTAATAAACTCAAAAACTTATGAACTGATTACCAGAAAATTTTACCAGTAGAAAGCTTACTTATCACTTGAGATATATACTATATTCTAAACAAGATTGTTTCTAACACCGCCCAGATAGTTATCACTAAAAGCTACTTTTATTTTACACTCATTATCTCGTAAACAGCAAGATCAGTCTATAAAATGAGTATGTTTATGAACTATTTCCAGACTCGTGAATACTTAGCACATACAGCACGGGTGACTGCTGTTGTGTTCTCTCTGAGTTGTGAATGGGTGCTGTCAGTAAGTCGGGACAAGTTGTTTGCATACCATTGCAGTGAGACCGGCCGCAGGATCGGTGGGTACTCCTTTGAAGCTTGGTGTACAGCTTTGCAGTATCCTTTTTAATATAAAGATTGTATTATAACTTTATATAGATTTAAAATTATTTTATCACTAGCTTTCACCCGCGACTCCATCCGCATGGAATTTAAAAACAAAATTAAGTAGACTATGCTCTACATTTATTCCAAATTCCATTAATATCCATGCAGCCATTTAGGTTACAAACTCTAGCAAACATCCATCCATCTAAACTTTCGCATTTATGATATTAGTAAGAAGTAAAATTAGTAAAATTTTGTGGATAAGTGCAGTATGAGTTTGATTGAGGAGTAATTGGAGGGCCTAAACATTTTGTCATTCTCATTAAAATTCAATCTCAATAAAAGACAGTCATTCTCATTAAAATGTCTGGAATATTAACGAATTCTGATATATCTATTGCTGTTCAAAATTTTAACCTTCTATCTTTATCCATGACAGTTACAGTTGACTCAAAAGTGTCCCAAACTCCTTCTAGACAAATGTGATGGGCCATGCTCACCTCGGCGGCATGAAATGAATACACTTTTAACAGAATTATGTTTTACGTAATAAGAACTGAATAAAGACAAAATTGTCTTGTGTTGTGACATTATTTTTTTTTAGTGCAGTATTTTTTGGTTGTTTTGTAATCCATGAATAAGTTCCTGAACCTCGATTCAGATTTGATTCCCAGTCGAAATACGCTTTTGTCGGCGATTACAGTGGTCTGATAACAATGTTGAAATTGGACAATAATGGTGCTGTGCTAGTCACTACTTTGAAAGGCCATACTGGGTAAGATATATTTAATTTCTATCTTGAAGTAAAAAAAAAATTTAATGAATGTTTTTTTAATTACTTAATATTTTATTTCAGATCTGTTAGAGTTTTGAATTGGGCGCCAATACCTCAGTTATTATTTAGCGGTTCTTTCGACCAAACCATCATTGTGTGGGATATCGGAGGACAGAAGGGAACTGCCTATGAGTTGCAAGGACATAGGTTTGTCATTATCCATCAATTTTCCGCTTGATTTCTACATTTTTTTAATAAAACAAATAAGCAATTTTTTGGCTAGTGGCTAGCTAAAGAGGTCGAATTTACGAAAGGTGTCATTTGATTCGTATTATTTTCCAAAGTGTCATAAGTACAGTTAGAGAAATCCACGGTGTCCCATTGTCAGATTTTTTTGTATATTGCAACAAAACAAAATTCCTCTATTCTTATAAATAGTCAATTTAGTATCTGTGAGTTGCACAAACAATGAGATAATCTTATTTCTTACTAATATAAATGTGAAAGTTTAGATGTATGGATGGATGTTTGTTGGAGTTTGTAGCCTAAACGGCTGAACGGATGTCAAAAAAATTTGGCATAGATCTAGAGGATAGTCTGAAAGAACACGTTGGCTATTAACTTTTTTTTTTTAATTCCACGCGGACGAAGTCGCGGGCGAAAGCTAGTAAAAATTTTTTTTTCTTACAAAACATTTAAACTCTCAGTCGTATTAGGCGTTGCGTTGTCTTAATTCGTAAAAGTTTTTAACGCTAAGTCCCCGCCAGATTCCCTGATTGTACAATGAGTGATGGGTATTAAGTAGTAAATGGCAGTTGCAGTAACTAGGTCGACGATTACGCTAAGATAGGTCACCGCCAGATTTCCTGACTGTACATAGAGTGTTGGGTATCAAGTAGCGCCTGCCGGTTGCAGCAACAAGGTGACGGGGCTGTGGTACGTGGGGGGCTGCGAGCGGCTGGTGTCGGCGGGCGAGGACGGCGCGCTGGGGGTGTGGGAGATGGGCGTGCGGCGGCGTGAGACGCCGGCGTGGCGCGAGGCCGACCTCTGCCAGCTGTGCCGCGCGCCCTTCATATGGAATGTACGCGCTATGATGGAGAAGAAACAGATAGGTACGATTACGGTACTTACAACCATAGACAACAGAGTATATTTTGCTAAAACACTAATAACTAAATTTCAAATTGTTTCTATTAAAACACTTTTTGCCTAAAAAAAATCAAATTTTTTAATGACGTTTCTAATGGGCGTGACATTTTTCTAAGGGGGGAAGTATCTACAATTGCTTCCCAACCCTAGAAAGCCGCAAATTATAAAATAGATTAATTTTCAATACTAAGATGCCGAGAATCTCGAGAAACCAATATAGGTAAATCAAACGAATTCTTAGTTTACCGTGAAAATATTGAATTACATGTTGATAAGCATCCTCTTTGGAATAAAAAAGTATTTTTTATAAAATATTTATAACTACCCTCTAGAGTCTAGACTATCAGTTGGCAACGCCCAAGTCGCCATGTTTTTGACGTTTTTCCATGTAGTTAAATTGGACTTTAAGCCAATCGCAATAAAGTGCAGTGTCGTAAGTCCGTGTGCGCAGGGCTGCGGCAGCACCACTGCCGCTGGTGCGGCGCGGCCGTGTGCGGGCCCTGCTCGCCGCACCGCCTGCCGCTGCCCGTCATGGGCTTCGAGTTCCCGCAGCGCGTCTGCACCGCCTGCTACGACACCTTGCGGCATGAACCGTAACTATGACTTACTATGGTGGATGGATGGATGTTTCTTAGAGTTTGTAGCCTAAATTGCTTAACGTATCTCGAAGTCTGGAAGAACACATACGCTACTTACTTTTTCTCAAATTCCAGTCATTTTTGTTATTGCTTGATTTTATGTGTAAGATATATTGATTTGCCTTCACAAAACATTCCTTGAATCATATCAAAGGTTTCGAGGTTTGAGGTCCAAGAACACAATGTGAAAAGTTTTCTACACTTGACTATATTTTTCCCAAAAATATATGCCCTTATATTCACAGGTGTAACTTTTCATGAAATCTAAGAACTCACTAATTTTCGTCCGCGACTGCATTCACGGGGATTTAAAAGAAAAACTAAAGTAAATAGCCCATGTGTTCTTCCAGACTATTGTCTACTTCTATGCCAAATTAAGACTGAGATATTAAGATAATTTAAAGATGTAACTCCTTACGTAAAAAATGTTACATAATCTGTGAGATTATAACTTCAACGGATATAGGACCATATATGAAGTGTGCCTCTTCTCGTGGTATATCAGTGTGACACTGTCTTGTAGGCGCGAGTCACTGGCTTCGTTCCACGATATGAAGCATGCGGTATCATCGCTATACGTGGATGAGGCGACAGGTCGCGTGTGTACCGCGGGCAAGGACCGCGTGCTTAAAGTATGGGACGCGGGCGTACTGCTCGCACCCGCGCCACGCCCACCAAACCCTGGCACCAGCGAAAACTAACCGAAAATACACCTTATTTATATGAAGCTAAAGTCGAAAATCGATTGCTGGATATCGCTGTTTGTGGAGATATGCTTGATAATGGTTCGTAATTTTTTTTTACACTATATTTGCAATCAGACACTTGTATTTTTTTTACATATAAAGGTTGTTCTTGTGTCTCCACGAATGCGAGATTCTAATATCGATTAGATAAATTGAATTTCCAAAAATGGCTTGTAAAATGGATTGTTTAAGCTTGCGGATGTATTAGTTAAAGATCTCTATGTTTAATATTTAGAACACTTGTTTAGTAATTATCTTTTCGTCCTGTTAAAAATATTTACATAGAAATTATAGTTTTTATATGGAGAGCACTGACGGTTTAGAAACATTTCAAATTAGAAGAGATTTCAAAATTGTCGGTTAATTTATACTAAATGTTTTTAATTTAATATTTTTTTAATACATTTCTTTATTTATATCAGAATTAACATATTATATTTTTTTATGTACTTATATATACTATTTTAGTATTCAATATATTGTGGCTTTGTTTCACTGTCAGTGCTCTTTATATGAAATATTGTAGGCAATTTGAATTGCTCATAATATAAGTGCTAAATAATTGGGCTGTAACGTCCATATGTTAAAAGTGTTATTAATAAGTAGATCTGTAAAGTACTTGCATAGATATACAGATATGTAACGAATCCGACAATATATACGAGCAGAAGCTTGCAACATTATTGCGTATTCATTGATAGATGGCCATACTCAGTCGTAAATGGGGAGAAAAACTGGAAGCTTTAAGTAGGTGGCGCCAGCGGTGATTAGATAGAAGGCCTTTTTCGTAATAATTAGTGACAGAAGTAAAATTTTTCAGAAGTGTAATTTATCAGAAGTAAAATTTATCACAAGTAAAATGATCCGAAGTTATCAGAAGTAAAATTTAACAGAAGTGTAATTTATCAGAAGTAAGATTTATGAGAAGTAAAATTTAACAGAAGTGTAATTTATCAAAAGTAAAATTTAACAGAAGTGTAATTTATCAAAAGTAAAATTTTACAGAAGTGTAATTTATCAGGAGTAAAATTTAACAGAAGTGTAATTTATGAGAAGTAAATTTCTCAGAAGTTATCAGATGTATAATTAACAGAAGTCTTTGCATTTCAGCACAGTCAAACATGCTACATCTAAAGTGAGCAAAACGCAGTTTTTCTCCTCATATGTCAGAGTCCTTAAGTGAAGATTTTGTATGAATAATCCTCACTGAGGGACCAGTTAATTTAATAATACATCACTGAGTATGGTATTTTTTTACTAGTATTAATGTTTATGGTCCAACGAAGGTTTTTTCTCTAAGGTTAAGTTATATTCATCTAATGTAAGACTGAATAATTCAGGTACATGTTGAAGTCTTATTCATGTAGACGTGTGTACATAAATCAATATTATTATGACAAACGCGTCATAATATCATTTTTATTTTATACAGTTGGCAACACTAATTTGTTATGGCAACAGTGTTACTCTTGAGGCTTAGATTTCTTTGAATTTCAAATTTATTTTATCTATTCTTTCATCGCCAGTAAAAAAGTGAAAAAACTCTTCTTGTACATAAACCCAAATGAATTGGTATTTTACAGTCATATTATATCATCGTAATATCTCAAATAAGCAAATATTAAAAATGCCATTTCAAATGTTAAGAAAAATTTAATAAAACGATGAATTATTCTTTTCATTCTATTGGTGTGCTAAGTTTTCTAATTTCATTTCCTCTCAGTTAAAAATAATTGTATAGTCAGACTGTTGAAACATAGGTAATCTTAGTATTTTTAATCAACACTAAGGGACTTTCGACCCCTTTTAATTCTGAGTTCGAATTGATTCGATTGTGTTCTAATAAGTGTTACGTCTGCTTCACACCTGGAGAGCACAAGGAATGGATTGTATAGACTCACTGGCTTCAATTACGTTATGCCAGTGCTAGTCCAGTTATTGTGCAGTACTGGCCAAGCAGACATTAAAGTTCCGTTTTTCTGTACTAATATTATAAAGAGGAAAGATTTGTATTTTTGTATGTATTGAAATAACTCAAAAACTACTGGGTCGATTTTAAAAATTCTTTCACTGTTTTAAAGGTAACTTATCTGTGAGTAATATAGGCTATATTTTTTAAATTTCCGTGGACGGAGTCGCGAGAAACAACTAGTGTTATACATTTTAAAAGATCGATAATTTCGCTGTTTCGTTTTTTTTTTTTAAATGAATTATTTACATAAATATGTCAGAGTTATGAATGATAATAAGGTATGTGCTAAAGCCGTTAAATCAGCATAGGTTAGAAGGTGACAGTATAAAATAAAAACCTTCTGATTAGCATTTATATCATCTTTGATAGTTATATAAAATTCTTATATTTCCGAGCACATCCTTGATGGTATAGTAGGCAAGGTCGTGGTGATTTTGCAAGGCTTTTTTTGTATGAATCTTTTAAAATCTAGAAATATCTAGTAACTATACTGGAAGCGTTAAGTTTGATTTGTCCGGTATATTTTTTAATTTTAGTCTTTTTATTTGTGAATAGCTAATTTAACGTATTCTCCGCATTTAAATGTTTTGATATACGTCTTATGAGTGTCCTCGAGGATTGGGAGGGGTGTGGCAGCTGGCTAGATAACAGAAAAATGTAACATTCGAGTAACTTCGAAGACCATGTATTTATTGTAGTTGGCCCCTCTCTCTAGATTTTCTGCTAGCGACTCTCATTGTACCTTTATTATTGGTATATTGTAGATTAAATACACTTTAAAGATATAAAATAAAATTGCAATTTCGAGACAAATTTATGTATTAAAAAACTATTTTATAAATAGTCTATTGATTTATAACAGTGGGTTTACACCGTGGCAATTTTATGACGTTGTTTTTTAAAGACTGTGAGTTATGTGTCAAGTGTCCGCAGTATAAACCTACAGTAAAATAATCCACTTTTTCAAGTTATATGGTTTAAGAACAAAATAGTCTATATTTTTTTTTAATACAATGATTTAAATATTACACATGTGCCTGTCTATTTGTTTAATGTATAAGGTTTTTCTAAATTTATTTAAATTGTAATTTAATTAAATGAATTATTTTATTTATTATAATAGTAAAAATATTCAGAAAATTTATGTCGAAGATAAATAGAATTGGTTTTTCAAATTAATTATTGTATATTTCATTAATGTTGGCATTCATTAATTTAAAATTTTTAGTTTATTAGAATTAAGTGAAAATTTTAAATTGGACTTGTATTTTTTCTGGATTATATTAAAATAAATCGTATAAAGTAAGAATTATCGTTAAAAGTATAATGTTGAAACTTTACGATTTATTATTTTCGTCTTTTTATTAGTGAATAGGTTTGTTATTTTTTTATTAACGTATAATGTTATTGATGTTATTCGGTAGATGTGATTAACAAATAATCGCGTATATTATTTTAGCGCGTATTAAAAAACTTTGATCTTATCGAGAAGATTAAATATTTTTTTATTCACTTGAGCTTAATTTGTGTGTTGTAAAGTAACACTGTAATATATAGTCACTATATAATATATGTATACTTATAGGTCGCTTAAAGTTTATATGCAAATAAAATAAATAACAAAAATATTGCTTTTTTATTTTTGTAGTAGCTTTCGCTCGAGACTCTGTCCGGGTGGCATTAAAAAAAATTAGTAGCCTATGTGTTCTTCCAGACTATCATTTACGTCTATGCCAAATTTCATCGAAATTCGTTCAGCCGTTTAGGCTCCAAACTGTAACAAACATCCATCTAAACTTTCGCATTTATAACATTAGTAAGAAGTAAGATTAGTAAGATTGAGATTCCCCTAGTAACAGCGAAACGCTTTTTATAAAGCTCTCTAACGAAGTGCATTGATAATTTTGAACTAGATTCTATGTACAGTAAGAAAATTATAACTTTAACTTTTTTACTTTTTTAACTAACAATTTATTCACAAAGATAAAAATCGAAATAACGATATGAAATTTCAAAAACCAAAAATTTCAGTATTAAAATGTATTTATTTTATTAAAAACTACAAGCTACATATAAATACAATTTATTTTAATTATTATTAATGTGCTTTATTTAAAACTCGTAATATCATTATGGAGGTAGATAGAGAAAACTTAACAAATTAACACTACACTGTCTTAAGCGATAGGGTTAAAAAACTAGTGCTGCTGATATGTCAGTGATATTCACAGCCTTTTGGTATCAGGTACATCATTTAATAGCGATTCCTTCCACGGGCCCAGTTCCACCAGTCGTGGGCAGCAATAGCGGTCAAAGGGTTAACGGGGCACTTTCAGCCCGGGCAGGTATATTGACTTTTGGGTACACACACTTGTCCATTAAACACTTGGTCTGTTGGGCAACTTAAATAAGTTCTAGAGCCCAACACACAGAAATAGTAACTTTTACACTCGGTTCCCGGTTGCAGGAAAAAACCTTGTTCGCATTTTGTGTCACTATTTTCGATAATGTCCGTCCTTTGGCCCCCGCATTCGTGGCGCGAGGGCTCGACGCACGCATGACCGTCGAAGATTTTTCCTCCGAGGCACGATAGAGTTGCCAGTCGATCACCTCCTTGACAATAGAAATATCTGAAACATAAATAAGCATAATTTAATTATATTTCGAATAAGTATAGGATTAGACTTGTCTAAAATGTTCAGAAATAATTCACTACTTATATGGCAACGGTTCGACTTTAATTTGCGATCTGGCTTCTTATTTGTATTCTTTTTATATTTCGGATTATTAAAACTACTTCCTTTATCAAATGGTCTGAAATCAATAATGCTAATTTTGATATTTGCTTGCATTTATTATTAATATTTTTTGTTATTGATTCTTGATTTTCATTTATGTTACTGCATTTTAAAATAATCATATTTTCTACATATTTTGTCGACCTCAATAAACTCTTATCTTGTTAAATTGTTAAACTATTTTTATGTTTGTGATTCGCTACAGTCGATCACAAAAAGTGTTATTGTGTTAGTTTACCTGTGACAGCTGGTTTCGATCTCGGCGTGGTAGCCGTCGGCGAGGTCGAGGCAGGAGTAGTCCTCGCTGGGGCAGAGGTGGCGGC